CGATGCAGGGGACATGGGTTCGTGCCCTGGTCCGGGAAGATCCCACATGCCGCGGAACGGCTGGGCCCGTGAGCCATGGCTGCTGAGCCTGCGCGTCCGGAGCCTGTGCTCCGCAACGGGAGAGGCCACAACAGTGAGAGGCCCACATACAGAAAAAGCAAAAAAAAAACAACAAAAAAAGAGAAACCCAGTCTTCTCTAGGTTAAGTTTATATAAGCAAAATGTTATTAATATAACTATTTCATTAATTGTGTGCTTTGTGTAAAGTCCCTGGAGAATTGTCAATTACCCCTAGTCCCTAATGGTTTTACTCTAAGGGGAAATACTGCTTAAAAACTCGTGAAATAGTTATATTCCATCCCTCAATAGAGAATTTTACTCCCTGCCATTCTGCTATTACTGGTTACAGCTAATAACTACAGCTATTAAGTTCCTGTCATCTACAGATGGATTTTGATGCTTACCTAAAAGTTATGCTGTAAGCTACAGACCAGAGCTTGTGCATTTAACAAGGACAGTTTCACAAGCCTCATAGAAAGAACTGTACCAGATACTTCCAACTACTGACACTTCAAAGAATATATTCTTGGGTACAGACTGCTGAAGTGATATTGCTTAGATAACTTTTAGACTGTAATAGTGGACTGGGTTAGTATTTCCAAAACTCTCATTAGTCTAGAAGCTGAAAGCTTCATGAAAGCAAACTGCTAAGATCTAGTAGAATGAGAATTAATTACATAGGACTGAGTAAACAGAAGAATTTTTTCCTGGCTATTTGTTTGGAATATTATTGATGTTTTAAATGTTCTATTTTTAGGGTATGTGAAGAAATTTCTTCTTTCTTCTCAATCTATATATAACCCACACAATTTCGTACATCCTGATTTCTTAAAACTAAAAGTTTTGAATCTCACCGAGTCCCTCAGAATTCAGAAACTCTTACTAGGTCTGCTAACTTTTTTTTGACAATATAGTGATTTCCATAGATTTATTAAGAATATCTTCCTTTTTAACATGATATAATTGGACAAACTGATGGTGGAACCAAGGACTTACCTGTGTCATGTTTGAGAATGGTGCCCATTTAATCAGATACGTCTACCACTTCTGAAGAACAAAGACTGGCTGTACTCACGAAGCTAATACCTATAAAGCCCTCCCAGGAAAAATGACCTGGTACCTGAAGTAGAGGGTCTCAGCCTTGCATGTGGTTAAGGAAGGTCACTTATATATGGTAATGAACTTTTGGTGACCTGGAGAAGAGAGGAATTCACCCAGTAACAGGTACCTGCAGGTGAAATAGGGTGAAGAGATTGTCTGGGGCTTGGTTTCCTAAACTTGGAATGGCAAAAATAGAAACTTTTAAAAGTAAAATCTGAGATTCCCTATGAAAACTTCCAGAGAGAAGTTAATTTTGCAGCCTCAGTATTTGCAAAGCAAACTCAGAGAAGCTACCTGGTTAATTAATACCTTGCTGCAGCTAAATATATAATCAATCCCAAACTAATGAGATCTGCCATTTTTTTGCAACAAAAATCATTATGAGATTATTATGATTGGGGGTGTAGAGAGCTGTCAAGAAAATGGGCAAGAAAGATTATTAAATGTCCTGATTTGTATACTCTTCTGGGTTATCTGCACTTTTTACTTTCACTATTTTACAACTCTGCAAGTTATAGAAAACTAATGCTAACGCAAATTATTATCTACAGAAATGCAAATAAATTTTGTCTTGAGAAGGAACAATTGATTATTGCCCTGTGTATACTGACCAATTTTGTATCTATTTATAAATTCATCCCAGTCTTTGTGACTGCTGATATATGTATGTGTCCTTTGATTTTTTTTCTTTGAACTGGTTTAACAGCTTACTGTTCTCTCATTAATTAATTAAATAGAATAACTGACACATTTATATTTCTATGAATGTTACGATTCAACCTTTAAAAATATTATCCTTTAACGCATATCATACTGTGTTCTCCGAAGTATTTGTTTTCATGGATTTATCTAAATATATTTCTGACTCCAATTGTGCTTATAGCTTAAAGCTTTGCTGCTTGGACCAGCAAACTTCCAGAGTAAATATAGTCTACTGTTCACAGTTCTTAGGTTGTGCAATACATTTTATCATTCAAGTATTCCAAACCAAGGTCCAAAAATCCTAATTCTCATTCTATAGAAGAATTTGTAACTAGCTAGTCATCTCCCATAACATCATTCTTTTTCTTTCTCTCTTGCACTGAGAGTTGCTATAGCAGAGAGGTGAAGAGTGATGATTCTGGAGCCAGACTGCCTGGACTTGAATACCAGTTTAGTCTCTAGCTGGTTATATGTCCTTAACCTCTTTGTGTGTCAATTTTCTCATAAGTAAAATGACAATGTATGTAAAGTGTTGGTATATGTAAAATGTTTAGAAGAATGACTGACAATATTATGTTAATATACTAAAATCATCATGGATAGGAAGAAACAATAAAACCATATATATATAAATATGTATATTCTTCAATTTTCTGACCAAAATTTTTTAAGTGCTTCTGGTCTTTTGTAATGGTATCATTTATCTCCAGGCAAATCTATAAGAGTGTCAGGTTGCTAACTTTTAGCATTTTCTCTCTTAAGTTCCAAATAAATGCCCTAGGAAGATAGACACTTCCTGACTGGCCATATCAATCTAACATATTTGTTTTCTCCATATCCTTTCCCAAAAGGAAATCAGCAACTCTTTCTTCCCAGGGCAAGCAGCAGATTTTCTTGCATCCAGTGGAGCTTGGGGACCATCATTATTATGTGGGACTTCTCCAGAATATTTAATTTCTGTCAGTAAGACAAGATTTCTTATTATGTATCTCCATGGCTATTTTTGTCTTAAATTCCTCCTTGCCTCTCATTATGCTTGGAGTTTTGCAAGCATAATACAAGCATTATGCAAAGTATAGTTGTAATTTCTTCAGGTTTGGATCCAGTCTCCTTGAAAAGACCTTTACACTTATTTAGTAATCACAGAGGGGCAAGATTTATTTTTCCTTTTTTCCTTCCGTGTGTCACACACCCCTACTCTCTGTTCTCTTGAATCAGGTTTCTCACACAAATATGAAACTTCAGGGATTCCTATTTGATATGTTTCAGTTATTATAAGGAAGTCTTTTCAGCTCTTTGATGAGACACTACATACTGAGAATTATTAGTCAAGATGCTTTTTGGTTGCAGAAAACAGTTTACCCATCTCTATCTCTAATTAGCTTTTTCAAAGTAACGTATTGGCTCAGGTAACTGAAAAGTCAAGAGGCGGGTATAGTTCAACAGGGGCTGGAGTAAGTGGTCGAAAAATGTGACAGGACCGAGTACCTCTCTTTCTCTCCCATTTCTTAGGAATGCTTCTTTACAGTTGGCTCCATTATTGGCAGGCATTACTTTCATGGTTCCAAGATAGGAATTCTTTGAGTTGTATATTTCCTCATTCATATTCAATAGGAAACAGAGTCTATGTTCCTAGTCATTCAAGTAAAATCTAAGAGATGAGACCCACTTGCTCCTATTGACCTGAATTATGTGTTCCTTGAACTAAAAACTGTGGTTATGTGAAATAGATATGCTGACTATACTAAGCCACCTACCCTGGAGGATTAGTCAATCTCACCCTAACTATATGACTGGGAAATGCAGTGTAGTGTTAGAAAGAGGGATGGGAAATGGCTGCTGGAGAGGCAACTAACAAATATCCATTATGAGAAGCACTTCTCAAGCCTCTTTGTTTCCTGAAAAAGCAAGTTGATCAGTTTGGCAATAACCAGTATTCAGATCACTAGGAGCTAACTATTGAAGAGTTATTCAAATCATTTTCTGTGTAATAATACGAAACTCAGAATATGATAACTTAAAAGCTTGGTTATGAATACAAAACTTCCAAATATTTTAGTTTGAAAACCAGGATAATTATTGTAGTTGCTGTGGTTGCTTTATAATATGAGAATACAAAAGACAGTTTGGTATACTTTGGAATGTTTATAAGTTATAGCAAAGCTATAGCTGGAGAATTCAGTTGTCAACTGGAATTCATTAATAATTTTATTAATCAATATTTACATTTTCTACTTGGCCTTTGACTCAGCTAAGTTTGTTTCCAACCAGGCATGGCTTGTTGAATATAAGCGTTAAAGTCATCATTTGGTAGTTTAGCTCCTAAGGGTCGACTGATACTAGTTTTCCTCCCTGCATCCCCCTGAAATCCTGGGTGTTTTTTCTTCCTAAGGATTAAAAACAAAATTACACTTATTACTTATTTTTCTTTTTCCTTCTCATTTTATATTCATATCAGGGACTGAGGTTTCTTTTGCAGCCATGGTCTAAATTGTCACTGCTTATTCAGCTATACTTATCAGTTTAATCTTTCCTAGCCTGACACTTTTTACAAAGTATCATTCAGCCAATGACTGAAAGAAGTGATAAACACCCTTAAAAGTTTCTATATGAAGATCAGTAATATCAGAATTTGTACAAAGACTCAACTTTCTAAATGGTTGTAATGAGAACATAGTGAAAGAAAAGAAAAAAAGATGCAAAATCATAAGGAAAAAAAGCAAGATTAATACAAATTAAATATTATCTTGACCAATCTGTTTGGATATTAAAACTTAATGTGATCCTCTTAAGGGATTATCTTAATTAAGCTAGGCAATTTATTTTAAGGTATGTGATGAAATTACTAAAGAAAAAGATAACTTCTGAGCAATGAATTTCTTGAAAGTCATGTGATGAAAGTTCATTGCCACATACTACAAAATCTTAATGATGTTAGAGTACTTTAGGTACAGGAGAAACTCTATTAAATTCCTTGATGGAAGATACTCAGTGGCACTTACACTTTCCCAAAAAAGCACTAGTGAAGGTCTTTCAGAGTAAAACACATCTTCCGTCATATGCTATAGCCTACCTCCAAGGATAGGAGGTAGGCTGTATGCTTGCAAAATCATTAATGCAAAAGCCTCTTGTCTTACCGGTTCCTCTGCACTGCCTGTTGCATCATGGGAATAACTGATGAGACCAGGGATGGGCTGCTCACCGTGTGCCATGATAACAGCAGGACTGGTGTAGAATGGATGCTTCTAATGCACAACACATAACAACTATGAATATAGTGACAGGAAAACATGAAACTATACAAGCAAAATGACTGGAAAGGAAAAAGGGTGAAAACAAATGGAACAATGGAATGTCAAAAATTTTCAAATGAAGAATGACAAAATTAGCTTAGATTTCAAATGGTACAAGCTTTTTTTAAGATTGAAACTGATGGTACTTTTAACTCTTTTAATTAAGAGTAAAAGAAAGAGAACATACGATGATTTAATAATGTATTTCATCAATCATTTCCATAAAAACAGAACAAACCTCACACACAACAAATACTTACTAGCCTTAAGCAAGGACTTAATGGATCACTGAATGGATCTGGAGACAGAATAATCCCATCTTCAGTGAAAGAACCACCTACTTGTTGTCTGAATGGACACTTCCAAAGGATCTCTATGATCCTTTCCAATATATACATTGTCAAAAAAATCCTCTCATGCTATGCTCATACCCAAAGTATCTGGATGAGCCATAAACTTTAAAAATTACTTCATATAGCGATTAGATTTTCAATTTTTACACTCTCAATGAACAATCATTACTCCCAGAAGTGATATGCTACTGTCTGAAGATTTTAAAGTGTACAAGGTCGGTTATACTAGATATGGATAATAATATAAATCATGTTCTGTGACTTTAAGATGATAACTAAATTTACTGAAGTACTTCATGGTACTATATTTACTCCCAGAATTGTTCAAAGAGAACTTGTAATACTTTGATGCTGTTTTAATGATATTTATTACTTTATTAAATTAAAAACATGAATATCTTACATCCATTTCTTCTCTTTATGACTGGAGTAATTTGTGTCCAATAGTTAAATAAGTGCTACTTAACTGCTGAAAAGTCTTGTCTTAAAAAAATATATTTATTAATCTTCCTCAGCTAATTTCTTGAACCACCTTAGGTATCTTACCTTCAGTTTGGTGCTCCTCTAAGAATTTGTGAATATTTGATGTTCTGAATACATGAACATTGTATATTTACTATGATCACAAAAATGACATCTTCAAAGAGTTCTTAAATGTCACATTGTTTATCATTGGAGCTATTACTTCAGTAGATAACAGCAGAATTTTTAATGCCTCAGAACGCAGAATAAAACTTCAATGCTTTCAAGAACTCTACATAATGGAGGGAATATAGCTGTGGAGTGTCATGAATATCCCCGTTCTTTTTAAAGGATGCCCTGAAGTGGTATTTAACTTATGGAAGAATGGGATGGAAAGAGAGATGAGATCAATACATTTACCTGTGGGTCCTTTAGATCTCTGGGTCTCTCTCAGCAGGCTTACCTTGGCCGCAATGGCTGCTGCAGTTATATGCGATGAAGAACTATCTTCTGTTGAAGCAACACCACTGTCTTTCTTCTCTTCTTCCTCTTCTTCACACTGAACCCCTTTGTCTTCTGTCTGTTTATGGGGGCTAGTTGTGGGAGGAGGGGAAAGAGGTGGTGGTGGGGAAGGTAAATCTTCAAGTTCATCATGCACTTCTTTTACTTTTACAATGGCATCACGTAAAAGGTCAATGGCATGAGGTAGGGCTGGCAGTATGAACTGAAAGCATTCCTGTATGCAAGAGGAAGAAAAAAAATGAAGATAAAGCATTTTTATAGGCATACAAAATGGCAGCAGTCAAATGTGTTTGTGATTTTGGATTTGTGATTTTCTCTCCATCTGTCTTAAGAAAGAATCATATTTAATGTATTGTCTTTGCAATGCAAAATATGAAGTAAGAATGGTATATATTACAGTATTCTCCATAAGCTGAAGAACTACACTATATAAGCACACAGTACATTTTTTGTTTTTAAGTAAAATTTCTATAAAACTTAGGGGTTTAAAGATACATTATGAGAGAGCAGGTAAGAATTTTTACCTTTCTGGTTAGAGAAGGATACTAGAACTAACAAACCAATTGAGTACTGAACTATTTTATTCAGAGAAATAAGTTCTGACTATAATCATAAAGTACAGCTAGACATCATTGTACAATATGTAAAAATAGGTATAAGTTTGTACAGCATAAAAGTCAATATAGTCTCTTGGTTTCTTTTTTTTAGTGGGCAGTGAAGGAAAGTACAGCATTTATTGCAGGGTGCCAAGCAAGGAGAACAGGCAGCTAATGCTCAAAATATATCCATTATTACCTATATTGTATCACCAAAAGAAAATAGGTGAGAATTTAAAAATCAGAACATAAGGCCAGATATGTTTGGGGAATATGTTTGAGCAGAGGTCTTTCTCTTTTACATTTACAGTAACTTACCTTAAAATCTAATATGTAAAGAAATATCTTACAATTTATGGACTACCTGGAAGGTATCTAATCTTTTAACCTACTGGAAAAAATTGTATAGTGAAGAATTTAACTTTAATCAAAGAGAGGTCTGGTCTTTACTCTCAGTTTTTGGGAGGTGATCTCTAGTTCCTTGTTATGCCATGCCTGATAAGAGTGTCTCTGTTTGCCTGGGGGCTTTGGCCACTGCACAGTCTAACAATGTGGTTTACTATGAGGGCTTTGGGAAACACTGTATCAGTTTTGCCTCTGGAAAGAACTGGGAATGGCTGACTAAAGGTCAACCATGTGGGCAATACGTGATCAAATCCTAATAAAAACTCTGAACACCAAAGGCAAAGGAGAATGTACATAGTTACCAATACTCTGTGTATACTGTCTTATATTGTGGCTAAGAGGAGGTGATGCTTCCATGATTCCATGGAAGAGGATGACCAGAAGTTCCCTGTTTGGTACCTCTCTTAGACTCTGCCATATGTGCTTCTTTCCTTGGCTGATTTCAACCTGTATTCTTTCCCTGTAATACAACATACCCATAAGTATAACAGCTTTCAGTGAGTTCTGTGAGTCCTTCTTGTGAATTATTAAAAGTGAGGGTGATTTTAGAAATCCCCTCAATTGCAATTGGTGTCAGAAATGAGGGCAGCCTTATGGAGTGCTCCAACTTTGTAGCTGGCTAACTTCTGCAGTTGGTCAAAACTCCTTACAGTTGGTGTTAAGAAGTGGGATTTGATAGAAAGACCCTGACTCACTGAAACTTGTGATCTGGGAAGAGGAAGGAAGAGAGGGTGGCGGATAACGAATCTTTAGAGCCTAGATGAACACAGGGTCACCCACAGTATGGAACTGCAGCTGTACTGTAATTAGTTACTGGAGATAAAATTAGCAATGAAGTTTTAAAATGAAAGATCTAACTCCTAAGGTTATGTCAAAGCACAAGAAATGCAAAATGATAAAAAACAAAGTAAACACACTATTTCTTGGTTAATGGTATCTGTACTAGCTAAAACAAAAGTAATGGAGAATGTTGGGGTGGATCCTGAGGCTGGGCCAAGTTTGGATTCTGAATGGTCTGACATATAGCTGCTAGCCTCAGAGCTGCTTCCCAAGGAAAAATTTATGTTGAAGCAATAAACAGTAAATAAAGTTGGACTGATTCATAAGAAAATGGGGAAAAAGAAACAAGAGGTTCAAGAAACTTGTCCTAACAGGGTGGAAATATTTAAATGGTTATTAAGAAATGTATGAAAAAAGTGAGCATTGATGGGGACAAAACAGAGGTCTTAAAGAAGCACTGCTGTGGGCTGAATAGACAGACTGGAGACCCTGCTGGTCTCCTAACATTAAGGGGTCCTAAACAAATCTCTATTTACCCTGGTTTGGAGCAATTAAAAAAGCTAGGAAGCAAAGAAACCTTACCTTTAATCACCTTAAGTGATGGACCCATAATCTAATCAATATAAGGTCTGACAAAAGGGTATGGATCCCTTGACCCAACCCAGGCCTTAAACTCCAAGGCCATATGCACACAAATGGCTAAAATCATCAGGAGACAGAGAAGAGACTTTTCTGGAACTCCTTGACATGGGAGCTTCATGTACTGTGATTCTACAACCTGTTGAAATCCTAATGGGGGAGGGCGTACAGTTAGAATGGGAAGATACAGGAATGCAATAGTTGATGGGATTAAGGTGCATGTTTGGATAAGAATCAGAATGTTTGGAAAGTGAACTTTATGTGAAGTGGTGAATCTCCTTTACCTGAATGTATTATGGGCATGGATGTTGTGTCTGACTGGAGAATTCGTCCTCTACCTCATATTGTAAAACAGCAGGCATGTAAATCCACTCTTCCACCAATATAATTGGACATGCTAAATGGGCTCACAGAGTTCATTAATTTGCTGTACAAAAGCCCTGTGTGGAGTGCAGACTGGGCTTATAGCAAAAACTTGTGAGTGCCACCCAACAACAACTGCTGGGATTTTGGACCAGAAAATTTCCATTTGAGAGACAATTACTACTTGCTACTTGACTTTAACTGAGACTGCCTTTATAACTAAAGGACACAAAATAATCCTAAAACCTGAAATATCCAAAAGGTCTTGGGTAATTTCAGAGAAAAGCTCTAATGGGGACGGCAATGCCCAGGAGAGTTCCATAATAAAATGGAAATGTTGCATATAGAATCATGCTACCAGGAGAATGCAAGGAGGTACTCACGAGCAGGCAGCCTCTTTTCACCTAGGGCTGACTTCGGAACCACCTGAGGAGCTGCTGGATCCTATGGCCACTTGGGCCACTTGGGCGGTGCCCTATAAACAGCTTTCTATTGATCAACAAAGAGCTGCTTGGTTTATGGATGGCAATTCCAAGGTGAAGGGACAGCATCCTGTTTGGAAGGCCGCCACTCTGATTGAAGAAGGTAAAAACAAATCAGCTCGATGGGCTGAACTACATGTTTGCACCTATGTTTGGGTTTTTACTGAGTCACGGGAAGTGTCCAAATGGCCTGGCCGTATGGTCAGGCAGATGGGCAATGGAAAACTGGTCTATTAAAGGAATACCTGTATGGGACATGGCCCTGGGGAAATCACTCTGGGAACCTAAGGGGTATATTAAAGTAGATTATCTTAATGCCCACAAGAAGAACTCCCTTCCAGAACTGGAAGTTGATTGGTACTGGCGAGCAGATATCCTGGTGTACTTGCTTGAGATGGCCACCTGGGTCCATGAAATGAGTGGACACTGGAGGTCTGTAGCAATGCAGAGATGGGCTGAATCTAGATATATTCCTCTTACACTCTGAGACACAAAATGCCAATAAGAACTGTTTTGTCTGCTAAAAAGAGAGACACAGAGGCAGAGGGCTATGCAGCAAATTCCACAGGGGAAAAGTCCTACACATAGCTGTCATGTTGGACTGATGCTTTTAGTCCCTGGAGGCTACAAATGGGTCCTAACAGGTATAGACACTTACTCTGGTATGAGCTTTGCTTATCCCAGAGTAGATGCAAATGTTCAATGTACTATAAAAGGACCAGAACAGAAGATATTGTATCAACGACCATGGAGGCACATTTCTTCAGACCAAGGAACACTTTCATCCTCAGAGCAAAAATATGACAGAAAATTGAAACGGGCAATTGAAATATTTGTTGTCTAAAATGTGAGGAGATAAAGTCATGAAGCCTTCATTAGTGTGTGATCACACTCAACAATAGGGAGGCTAAGTGAGAGTTCCTTCTAGACAGATTCCTCTACTTTTCTGGGAAGAGGGGATGGCAAAGGATGCTTGTACAACTATACTTTTCTCTTTATGGTTAACCTTTTTCGTTTTTCCCCACATCACCTCAACTTTCTTCTTTTCTACCTGATGCAATGGTCCTAGGACCAGGGCTGCAACTGTGGGTGCCAGAAGCAGGGATGATTCTTAAGCCCAAACTGTAACTATACTTTTAAATCTTTATGTCAGAATTCCTAAGGGCCTGATGGTATAGACTATGTCTTACTCCATCTGGTCAAATTGGGCTTGACAGTAAATGCAGTTATATGGCCTGGTGTTTCAGACTGCCTACTAGCTCGGTACCTATGTAACCTTAACCTTATCTTATATGAATGAAATGGACTGAGTGGGAAGTACTTGCTAAACTAGTATTACTAATGGCAATCTGGGCCAGCCCAGTGGCCAAACCAACGGTCTCATTCAAAGATGTTCAAAGGAAATGTCTGAGTATAAATGGAGAGAAGGAGGAATGGCAGTTGAAGGTAAAGGAATGAGTAAATGTGTTATGCAACAAGGGAAATCCAGTATTACCTTGGTGTCTCAAAAGAAGCTTAGAACAAAGACGATATTGTTTCTTGGCTCAGCTGTAGCAGATGCCAGAAAGGGAAAAGCCATATGTTGCTGAGACTACTCCTGCTTTTGGAACCTGACAAGTCTGTAAACCTGAGGAACATTGCTCTGGGACATGTTTTGATCATATGATATCATGACGACTAGGATAACTGTTAATGTCTGTGTAGGACTCCAGTAATGTGCCAGGATCTTTTGACTCTTATTTTTCAGGTTATATTTACTAATATACTATGATATGTTATAATACAGGCATTGTTAATAAGATTATAATGATGATATTGATAGTGATATATACTGGGAATTTGAATTAAAGCCTCCTCAATATGCAATACCAATGGGAAATGATTGGCCTGAGCAAGAGAGCTAATTTCTATGGTAAATAGCTGTGAGAATGTATCATAGGGCACAAATAATAGTAGATCAAGATGGAAAATTAGTAAATGAGTACAAAAATATGAAAATTTGTATAATGGCTTTAGAGGATGAATTACCTGTTTCTCTAAATTTATTCCTATCCCACTCTGGCTCCTCCAAATCTTAGGCATAGTCACACTGTTACTGATGTTGTGTCTATAATATACATGCTATACTAAATACAGATGGCCAGCCATACAAATATGATTGTTTTGTTGTAAGAAAGCCTTGGCCAGAGGCCAGGGGGTAGCTTGTGTAATACAGAATTAACCTTGCCCAAAGAGAGTCTGGCCTTTGCCCTCAGTTACTGGGAAATGAAAGGAGTGTCTTTGTTTGTCTGGAAACTCTGGCCACCAGACAGTCTAACTGTGATTTATGATGGGGGCTTTGGGAAATGTGGTATCAATTTTGCCTTTGGAAAGTGTTGGAGACTACAGGTATATGGGCAGTATATGATGTGCCTCAATAAAAACTCCAGATGCTAAGGGCTTAGAGCTTCCCTGATAAGCAATAATCCCTGTGTTGTTACACACTGATGCCCAGAGAGCAATGTGTTCATGATTCCACAGGAAGAAGATATTAGAAGCTCTCCATTTGGTACCTCTCCTTTATTCTGTCTTATGTACTCCTTCCCTTAGTTGATTTTAAACTGTATCCTTTCCCTGTAATAAACCATAACCATGAGTATACCACCTTTCAATGAGTTCTCTGAATCCATCTTGTGAATTACTGAAACTGAGGGTGGTTTGGGGAAGGCATTGAACTGCAATTGGTGTCAGAAGTGAGGGTAGTCTTGTGGAGTGCTCCAACTTTTTGTTTGGCTCTCACAGTGGCCAAAATTTCTTACACTAAACCATATAAATCTCAAGATAGCTTACCTGAGATCCTTTCTTGCTACCTGGCAAGTTAATTATCAGAGTTTTCCCTCTGATTCCACATACAGGCCTGGAAGGAAAGAGAAACCCGATGAATACTAAATTAGAATGATAGTTGGTTTAAATACATTCAACAACAAAGATCAATCATTGTACTTTATATGTGAACAACTGTTTTAGGAATAAAGTTGTTATAGCTAAAGATTCACCAATTGTTATACAAATTGGGCACTCACTCTAGCTGAGGTTTTTATAATAATGGTTAGTGTAGGGGATTTGAAAAATGCACTGAACATGAAATCAGAATAAATTAGCCACTTTAAAGAAATACTGGCCAAATTATCTTCTTCCTCTAACTTCAACTTTTTCATATCTCTTACAGTTCTAAGAATTCAATGAGATAGCATATTAAAAATGACTAGTATAGTAATATCTATGTTCAAAAGTCTAACACATAAGGCACTCATGAGTTGAGTGAGATGTTTAAACTCTTGCTTCTCAGGAAGTCTATAAGTTTTAAAGTAAGACAGGTCTCTCATAAATCAACAGCAGTGGGGAGAGTTTAGAGAGCTCAGCTGTTAACTGATTCATTGATAATGTGTCAATTTAAAGTAGAAAGGTCTTTCAGAGATCATTGTAAATTTTCAGGCCACTTTTAAACCAAGTGGTTAGATTAAGAAACATAAATAGTGGAAACGCATGGGAAACTGGAATAAAAAGTTGAAGGCCTATGGGCTTCCCTGGTGGCGCAGTGGTTGAGAATTTGCCTGCTAATGCAGGGGAAACGGGTTCCAGTCCTGGTCTGGGAGGATCCCACATGCTGCGGAGCAACTGGGCCCGTGAGCCACAACTACTGAGCCTGCACGTCTGGAGTCTGTGCTCCGCAACACGAGAGGCCGCGATAGTGAGAGACCCACGCACCGCAATGAAGAGTGGCTCCCGCTTGCCACAATTAGAGAAAGCCCTCGCACAGAGACGAAGACCCAACACAGCAAAAATAAATAAATTAACTCCTACCCCCAACATCTTAAAAAAAAAAAAAAAAAAGAGTTGAAGGCCTAGATTTCATGAGAGTTCAAATCATGCTCTTCCAATAATTGGCTGTGTTACTTTGACCTGGTAATGATATCATTTCCATCATTTGAAAACAAAAGGACTAGAGCAGATTAGTCTATTTCTAAAATTTCACAACTTAGATTGTAAGCCACATAAGAGTCTTTTCCTAAAACTTCTGATTGAGTTTCTTCTTTAATTACTTTAACTCTTTGAAATAACCTAAAATTGTCTTTTATTTTATTGTTTTTTTCTTGTCCTATTCACAAAGTGTTCATAGCTATTTAAAACTTTCCATACGCTTTTCTTTTTAATTGAGATATAGTTGACAAATAACATTGTATTAGTTTTAGGTATACAACATAATTATTTGATATGTGTATAGTTTGTGAAATGATTATCACAATAAGTTAATATCCATCACCACACACAGTACAATTTTTTTCTTGTGATGAGAACTCTTTACAATCTACTCTCTTAGAAACTTTCAACTATACAATATTATTAACTATAATCAACATGCTGTACATTACATCCCCAGGATTTATATGTGGAAATTTGTGCCTTTCAACCACCTTCACGCATTTTACCCACGCACCAACCCCTGCCTCTGGCAACCACCAATCTGTTTTCTGTATCTATGAGTTGATTATTTTTAGATTGCATATGTAAGTGAGATCATATAGTATTTGTCTTTCTCTGACCTATTTTACTTAGCACAATGGACTCAAAGTCCATTCATGTTGTCATAAGTAGCAAGATTTTCTTATTTTTATGATTGAATAATGTTCTATAGCATATATATACCTCATTTCCTTTATCCATTTACCCATCAATGGATACTTAGTTGGTTTCCATGTCCTGGCTATTGTAAATAACGCTGCAGTAAAGATGGAGGTGCAGATATCTTTTTGAGATAGGGATTCTGTTTGCTTTGGATAAATACCCAAAGGTCGAATTGCTGGATCATATGACAGTTCTATTTTTAATGTGTTTAGGAACCTCCATACTTTTTTCCACAGTGGCTGCACTAATGTACACTGCCACCAACAGTGTATGAGGGTTCCCTTTTCTGCATCTCCTCTCCAACACTTGTTATTGTTTTCAGTAACAGCCATTCTAATGGGTGTGAGGTGATATCTCATTGTGGTTTTGAGTTGCTTTTCCTGAATTAGTGATGTTGAACATCTTCTGATGTGCCTGTTGGCCATCTGTATGTCTTCTTTGGAAAAATGTCTATTCAGATCCTCTGCCCATTTTTTAATTTTAAAAAAATTGTTGTTTATAGTTTTGAATATTAACCACTTATGGATACATGATTTGCATATATCTTCTGCCATTTGTTAGGGTTTCTTTTCATTTTGTTGATGGTTTCTTTTGCTGTGTAGAATTTTTTAGTTTGATGTAGTCCCATTTGTTTAATTTTGTTTTTGTTTCCTTTGCCTGACGATACATATCCAGAAAGAGACTGCTAAGACTGATGTGAAAAGTATACTGCCTACGTTTTCTTCTAGAAGTTTTATGGTTTCTGGTTTTACATTCAAGTCTTTAATCCATTTTGAGTTAATTTTTGTGTATGGTGCAAGATAGGGTCTAGTTTCATTCTTTTGCATGTGCTATCCAGTTTTCCCAACACAATTTATTGAAGAAACTGTCCTTTCTCCATTGTATGTTCTTTGCTCCTTTGTTGCAAATTAATTGTCCATATATGTATGGGTTTATTTCTGGGCTCTCAATTGTGTTCCATTGATTTATGTCTGTTTTTCTGCCAATACCATGTTGTTTTGATTATTATTGTTTTGTAGTATAATTTGAAATCAGGGAGTGTAATACCTCCACTTTGATCATTTTTCTCAAGGTTGCTTTGGCTATCCAGGGTCTTCTGCAGTTCTATACAAATTGTAGGATTTTTTTGTTCTATTTCTATCAAAAATGTCATTGGTATTTTGATGGGGACTTCACTGAATCGGTAGGTTGCTTTAGGTAATGTGGATATTTTAACAATGTTAATTTTTGTAACATGAGCATGGACTATCTTCCCATTTCTTTGTGTCTTATTCAATTTCTTTCAACAATGTCTTATAGTTTTCACTTCTTTGGATTAATTTACTACTAGGTATTTTATTCTTTTTGTTTTGATTGTAAAAGGAAATGTTTCCTTAATTTCTCTTTATGCTAGTTCATTCTTAGTGTACAGAAATGCAACAAATTTTTGCACGCTGATTTTGTATCCTACAACTTTACTGCATTCATTATTTCTAATAGTCTTTCTGTAGAATCTTTAGGGTTTTCTATATATAAAATCATGTTATCCACAAATAGTGACAGTATTACTTCTTCCTTTCCAATCTGGATTTTTCTTACCTAATTGCTCTAGCTAGGACTTCAGTACTATGTTGAGTAAGAGTGGCAAAGTGGCAAGAGTAGGTATCCTTCTCTTGTTCCAAATGTTAAAGAAAAAATTTTCAGTTTTTTCACCATTCAGTATGATGTTAGCTGTGGGTTTGTCACATATGGCTTTTATTATGTTGATGTATGCTCCTTCATTTTATTGAGTTTTTTTCTTTTTTAATCATAAATGGGTGTTGACTCTTGTCATATGCTGTTTTTTGGGCATCTATTGATATAATCATGATTTTTGTCCTTCATGTTTGTTAATGTGTTGTATCATGTTGATTGATTTGTGGATACTGAACCATCCTTACATCCCTGGAATAAAGCCCATTTGATCATGGTGTATGATCCTTTTAATGTATTGCTGTATTCAGTTTGCTAATGTTTTGTTGAGAATTTTTACATCTATGTCTGTCAGACATACTGGCCTGTAATTTTCTTTTTTGTGTGTTGTTCTTGTCTGGTTTTGGTATTAGGGTAATGTTGGCCTCATAAAAAGAGTTATGAAGTGTTCCCTTCTCTTCTAGTTTTTGGAAGTGTTTGAGAAGAATTGGTATTAAGTCTTTAAATGTTTGGTAGAATTCAGCAATTAAGTTGTCTGGTCCTGGATGTGTTCCTTAGGAGGTTTTTCATTACTGTTTCCATCTCCCTACTAGTGATTGATATATTCAGATTTTCTATTTCACATGATTCAGTCTTGGAAGAATGTGTGATTCTAAGAATTGATCCAGTTCTTCTAGATTGTCCAATTTGTTGATGCATAGCTTTTCACAGTATTCTCTTATGATCCTTTGTATTTCTGTGATATTGGCTGTAATTTTTCCTTGTTTCTGATTTTATTTATCTACACCTTCTCTTTTTTCTTAGTGAGTCTAGCTAAAGGTTTGTCAATTTTGTTTACCTCTTTAAAGAAACAGTTTCATTGACTTTTTTCCATTGCCTTTTTTAGTCTCTATTTATTTCTGCTCTGATTTTTATTTTCTTCCTTATATTGATTTTAGACTTTGTTCTTTCCCCCCACCCTAGTTCCTTTAGGTGTAATGTTAGACTGTTTATTTGAGATATTTCTTGTTTCTTAAGGTAGGCCTTATTGCTATAAACATTCCTGTAAGTACTGCTTTTGCTACATCCTACAGATTTTGATATGTTGCATTTTCATTTTATTTGTGTTCAGGTATTTTTTGATTTCTCCTTTTGATTTCATTGAACCAATAGCTGTTCAGTAGCATGTTGTTTAGTCTCCATATATTTGTGATTTTTCCAGCTTTCTTCTTGTATTGATAGTTGATCATTGCCATGGCAGTGGAAAAGATGCGTGATATGATTTCAATATTTAAATTCATTGTGACTTCTTTTGTGTTCCAACATATGGTATATTCTTGAAAATGTTCCATGTGCATTTAAGAAGAATATGTATTCTGCTGCATTTGGATGAAATGATCTGTATAAATATCTTAAGTCCACTGTTTCATTTAAGGACTATGTTTCTTTTTTGACTTTATGTTTGAATGATATATACATTTCTCTGTGAATTCTTCAATTTCTTTCATCAATGTTTTATAGTTTTCAGTGTACAAGTCTTTCAATTTCTTAAATTTATTCCTAGGTATTTTATTCTTTTTG